ATATATTACCCAATTATCGCTCAGTCAGGTCTTCCAACGTGTGGAAGTATTGTATGTAAGGCTAAGTGTGGGTGATTGCGGGGAGATGATAGGAAAGGGAAGAGGAAGGAATTTACGTGACCAGTCCGTGGCTCGTTTTGTAGGGTACTGCTCCGGCACATGTTTGGTATTGATCGAATATCCCATGAAAAGTTTCCGATCAGAGCAACCATCCGCCAGAATTCTTCTCCAGACAGCGGCTGAATTGGACCTGGATATACAGCTAGTATAGAGACCTCGATGCCGTTGGGACAAAAACCTACAACCGCCCGGACAGAGCCGCTGCAGAGACAGCGGGAGTCTTACACCTTATCGTACCGAGATCGGTGAACCGAAACGAGGAACGGGTGGCGGGAGCCGTGCATTCTGTGTACGTAATTTTAAAGACAACGACGGGAATAACGGCTCTAAATTTATTTCGGTTGACAGAAATCTGTTCTAATGTGGAAACCGCAGTTAAGTTTTTGCATAAATACAATATAGATCACAAAATAAGAAAATGCATCGGAAACTATGCGTTGCACCGCGTGATGGATATTTTATATTAACCGCGTAAGCCGAAGACCGGAGTCTCGTCACTCGATTTGAACACGGGTAGCGAAGTGTCACTGTCCATTTAAAGTACGTATGAGGTTATAAATACGACGCCTGTGGTGGTATCGCTCGCCATGATTGCACCGAAGTGTGACGATTCCTTCACGTTCGTACGATAAGGGATAAGAGCCGACAGTAGCAATGCTGGGCTAGGATTGCCGGTTCCATTGTAGACTGTCTCTGCATCAAATTCTCAAAGTTCTCTTTCTGTGTTTTTATCTAAGAAACTATTCGACAAGAATGTACTTGGGCATCAAATGTTTGAAAATTATGCGTTGCACAGATACAGGTTATTTTATGTTAATCGCGGGGGCTGAAGGCCGATGGCTGGTCTCTAACTGGACTCGTAGCAAACCGTCAACTGTGCCCTAAAAGTCTTACGTTATAAGATGCCATTTCGTCCTTAGGTTCGTCATTTTATCCATGTTCTTACGGTAGTGAAACTATTCATTCACGTGGGGCCTGATAAGGGACAAGAGCCATAATATTTTCGTATTTCTAAAACCTATCTTTATTTTTATTCGTAACAAATAAATAGTTAACGTTTTTTTAGCACCCAAGAGTACTAGCCATTCTATAGTGTACTATTGTTCTATAATGGATAAATAGCGTTGACGTTTTCATCTCTCGTCAAATGTGGAACTGCAGATTTGCATTGAGGGGCTGGGGAAACATGGTAAGCTCTGTCTCGACGAAATTGGCGTCGCACCTTTTTCCTCTCCATTGGTGCAGTACTATCGCAATTGCGTAGTAGAAGTTGCCTCAGAGCTCAACATACGACACGCGAAATGACCTTGGCAAGCGCCAGTGCTTATGCGTAACAGGAACACAATTTATTTTTCCATAGCTCCATTTTAGCGTTTACAAATTCGTTCCTGCAAGCCTGTCAATTGTCGGTTGACACAACCCGGTGCCGCCAGGTTCGCTAGCAAACGAAGCTAAACGATAGCCGTACGCGGAGGTACCTCGTGCTAGTTGCTGATCGGTTGCGCTCATTACACGTTGCTACTTTAGTACCGCTACCATGGTGTTTTGAATGGGAACACGACCGTCGTGACGGCGCTTTTAGAGTTAATTACGTATTTACTTTTTGCTATGCGAGCGTTAATCCTAATCTTACAATATCTACAAGTACCTTTCCAACAATTTTGCTTTTACTCGAGGGTCGAGCAGCGACTTGTCAGAATGATTTATAACATCGCTCTAATTTGAAGTGTTACATAAAGAAAGGTACTTAGCCTATCGACGTTTTTGGTGCAGTAGGAGCAAAAATATGAGTGGCTGATTTGTGAGTAAACATGTGTGCTATCAATTGCCTTATGGTAAATACGAATACGAATTTTTATCGAATATGGTCAAGTCTTATCATCAGGTGCTCACCGCGGAATGAAGGATCAGTGCCATATCTCTTAAGGTAAGTCATGTAATTCATCATATGGAGCAGTGATACTTATCTAACGTAACGGAAATATGTCACTAGAATGTTGTCAATGAATACTTTCATCGTTTGCCCGGTGGCTGCTAATGTTTAAATCGTTTAACTATTTCGTAAACCATTTCTTTGTACTGATACGATAGTATTTATTGCCTTTAAGAAAGATGAATGTCATGTCTATTTTTGGTCGCATCAACCTTGTGACAACTTCAGTTTTATTACATTTTATTACATGGTTTTATTACAATGACATTAATTTCAAGAAGTGTGACTTGTTATTATATTACCATTACATGAAAATGCCATTAAATAACATTACAATTCCTAGCATAAAAAGTAGGTTTTCTGTTTTGCAACTTATATTAATACACATGGATACTGTACGCCTACACACATATATAATACTCGTACTATAAACACACATTTACTGCACAAACATGCATTGAAGTGTCCGACCAACTATGGACCACTCCCATAACTTCTATTCGGTTCACGATGTACAAATGTTTTCGCCCAACAATACGGAATCATGGGGCAAGCAATATACTGTAGAGACTTTCTAGAGAAATCCTTTCAGTTTTTGAGAAATTTAATAATCTTCGATTTTTTAAATGGAATTCTATATTTTTCTAGCCAGCAATTGATTGATCATAAACAGAGGAATACAATGGTACAAATATGTTTCTATTTTGATTGTAATTTGAGTGTAAAATTAGACATTCTTACGTGTGATTTTAAATTAAACGGACATTTCCTGCAGCAGCTCTTGCAACTGTCGCCTTTGGGGAATGCGGCCTTTGCGGCGCCTCGGCACTGTTGCGGGGAAACGGGAGAGGCCGCCAAGGCCACCTTCTCGAAAGCGACAGTTGCAAGGGTTGCTACAGGAAATATTGCGGGTCGAATTTAAAATAACATGTCATAAAATATAGTTTTATACTTCAAATATTATCAAAAATCAACATATGTTACATCATTGCATTTCTCTTTTTATGGTCTATCTATTGCAAGTGAGAAAAATGTACAGTTCAATTTAAAAATCGGAGATGATTAAATTTCTCGCAATGTATTTAACCATTTTAAGCAATATTTCTACAGCATATTGCTTGCCCCACGATTCCGCATTGTTGAGCAAAAACTGTATTTCGATATCATAAACCGTGTAGACGCCATGGGGGTGGCCCATAGTGGTTAGGACTCTGCTCTTTCTTAGTACTATGTATTTTGAAAAGCAGATACATTGCGAAAAACATGCTATATTCGTAATGAAACAAACATATAAGGAACAACGTAGAACATAAAGAAAAAACACATTTTGAAAAACTTACACAATCTATACACGTTATTGGCATCAATTATGATTAATATTTAAACTCAGTTTTTTACTTACAATTGAAATAAAATTTCTACTTATACATAGTTTTACAATAATATTTTATATTTTACACATTGATTTACATCAAAAATTTCAATACAATTATAGCGCGATTTTGTCACTTAGCACATTAGCGGATGAGTTAATCAACATTTTTCATAGATTTGGCTTGCCTCATATTCAGGTCATGCGAAAATGCGTTCTACTCAATTATAAACTTTCACTATGTCGTACTTGGCTGCAACATTGGTGGTGATGTAATGCGAATGCGTGAATTGTGTGCTCTATTCTGCATCTTTATTATAAATTCTGTTACGGGTTTCGTAACAACGTTTTCTAACAAATAATTCTGGCGTAGAACGTGTAGTATTCCTTCGTTTAACTAGTTAGTCACCCAAAAAATCAAATATTGGAAATATAATCCTCATCTGTGGTAAAGAAGTACAGTTGTTCAAATTCAAATATGTTAACTATTTCTAGATTGATTCATTCTGGAGGTGTGAGGGCTTAAATGAACTGTAAGCGTAATAGATTATAAAGATATTTTTTGAAACATTTTTAGTATCCGCATATGCAATGACTAGAATTCATCAACAGTGAATCGGAAATGAACGAGAAAAAGCAAATTAGAATTCAATGTGATAACGTTTTAGAGATCACTAAATTGCAAACAGCACATTTATTACGTTGATTATGATCTGAAGCAACGGATTCTTCATAATATTTAAGGTTTAACTACATATAAAAACTGTTCGGTCAGAAGTGGTTTTCGTCCAGAAGAAATTTATACCTTTAATCATATCAATTTGAATTATAAAAACAGTAAAATCCGTTAAGTAATTAATAGCATGTGAATATACTATTAGAGAAATTATTATAATTTCAGTTAATTATGTTAATTTTATTCTTCTTATAGTACACCTATTTTTCAGAGAGTTTGTAGCCGTTCTTTATTACAAGATACCTCATTTCAACTCTAGTGAGCACTAGAACTGACAAAAAAGGCGCTGTTTTATTGTTGATATTTAAGAGGTAGGGAAATGTGAATGCGTGGTTTAAAAAATTGAAGGGGAGTTAGTCGAACAAATTAACACACTGAAGTTTACAAATCTAAGTTGTTTTTCATTGAGATGAAATGTAATTCTGTTTAAATGGCCCATTCAGCTCATGCCAGGTATCGTGTTCTTTGTTATGCTTCGCTGAGTTGTTTGATGTTTACAGTGTCCGGTTGTTTCTTTCCAGCGCGTGTGTTTGCATCGAATGAGCGTCTAAATGCGATTTTCTTTTATGAGTTGCACTTCACGGAAACCATGAATGCGATCCGCTGGTGTCAAAAGGATTCACTACAACGCAATAGTTAGTGACCAGAGTTGGAGGTTGACCAAGGAAAGGGAAGTGGGTTGGCAGGTTAATAGATGCCCAGACAGGTAAAGGTCAATACTCTCAAGCGTGGTTTTGTATGAAAAGGATCATTATATTTAGATATTGTAGTACCTATACATTTCTTTGTATTCAAGAATATGCGCCCATTAAGTCTGTGTAAGATCATTTCAATAAGTGAGCGTCTTGTTTTGAAAGAGGAGCAGCATGCAAAAAGGAGAGATTTTTAGAAATATCGGCTGTCCCACTAATTATGGACCACTGTAAATTTTAAACTGTTCATGATATGGAAATGCTGGGATATGGAGAGTGGGGAGAGGGGGAGGAAGAGAGAGAGGAAGGGGTAGGAGATGGGAGGGGTAGGTGGGAAGGAGAGAGAGAGTTTTGGCCCTTCTATTAAGTTTTGGAGGTTCGGATCGTCTGGATACTCCAGCTCAGCGTTTGCCATCTGGAGGAGAAATGACGTCGGAACTCCGTTTCCCTCCGCGTGCAGGCGACAAGCCATGGAGCGCGAGCGAAGGGGGGAGGGAGAGAGGGGTAGACGGCTGTCGCCATTGACGAAAACCTTTTCAGTGGGAGTGGGTCTGGCCGGTGTTTTAGGCAACATGAGAGCCATGTACGCCCGTTAATTTTCTTTCGATTTGGGAAGATTGTTTCTTTACCTTTGTTACCGTAACAATGGTAAAGTGTTAAAGTGTTTCGGGTGTTCGAAAGAACTGCAGTATGTTAATAAGTTCAACTGACAGAGGCATTACTCAGATTTGCAACCCAAAGAAACCCGCGAGATGAAAATAATTTCTGAGAATTTACAGATAGCCTGCAATCATGAGATGAGTAAAGGATTTTGCAGATAGAAGGTTATGGAAAAGGGAACTAAAAATCACAGGATTTACAACTTTCTCAAACAAAACCGTACATGAAATAATCAAGCCTGGACTCCAAATTCTCCCAAGCGACACCTTCCGGGTATCTATTTGTTAACATTAATTACACAGACACCCAAAATAAAAATAAAAAATTGTCAGATCAAAAAACCTCACACATGTTGCTCTATCTATGTCGACTCTCTTGGGTCAGAAAACTTTTGACTTCTGTAGATTACAATGCTACAAGACACCAATATAGACTCCAATCTACTATTCGCATGTGTTTTTCGCAATTTAAAAAATCGCAATGCAGTGGCGCAATCTGGCTTCGGATTCAGAGCATCGACATACATAGAGAAACGTGTGTCAAGTCTTTGCGACTGACAATAAACCCCGAAAAGAAAAAAAAAATACAATTTCACGGTGGTTATTCGCGATTTAACAACGATCGTTGACATACATATACGTGTGTGAAGTCTTTGGGTCCGACAATTTTTTTTTTTATTTTGTGTGCCTGTTTTATTGGTTCATGACGAAAAAAATCGTTATATCACATTGTATAAAATCTTGTATTAGAATGTTGAAGCACCCTTCCCCAATAATGTTGTGTGTTAGAAGAATGAAAGTGGATTACTGGCTACGATAGATTTTGATATTGCTTTGTGTTATGAAATAATCTACGATATATTTTTTAACATTACTCATATTTTTATTGAATCATAAACATTTAAATAATAAATACCATTTAGAAACGTAATTATCAAGCGAACCTTATTCACCCACTTCCGTACCATCATTGGAACACTGTACGCCCGGCGTCACGTCGGGCGCTGCCTTTGCTCTGCCAGTACGTTCGGAGAGGTTTTTGTGACATCACTGACCATTGAGTTGGCAAGCACTACTCTAGCTATTCAGAATTACAGGTTTCAATCGCCATGGCAGCTTACTCCATATTCCGCCGCCGTAAGGTTTAAAAGAATTTCGAAATAAAAAAAGAAAAAATGCAAATAGATTTATATACATTTCCACTTTCATTTCCAGTTAATCACATGGACAACACACCGTAAGCATGTGAGGTGTACGCCATGAGAATGTGCAAAACATGTTGGAATGTGGGTAACCTGCCGTTAGAATGTAGGGAACATGCCAGAAAATGTACATCATGAGATAAACATACGCAATGATGAGATCATGTGCGCAATAAGGGGAACGTGGCGTGAACGTGGCGTGAACGTGGCGTGAACGTGCGTGGAACGTGGCGCAAACGTGCGTGGAACGTGGCGCAAACGTGCGTGGAACGTCGCGTGAATACGTGGAGGACGTGGCGTGAACACGTGGGGAACATGACTTGAACACGTGGG